TGTTATTTTTTAATTTACCGCATAAAGTAAGATATGTATCCCTGATAAAAAGTATGTAGGTTCAGAAGTCCAACAATTAACATGAACATTAATGCAGGCGATGGAATTTTGTTTGCGCAGCTGCGGAGTGACATATAAACGTCTGGTTTAGCTGATCAGCCTGCTGGGACCCTAATTCAACATTTTTGAGAAATAGTGAGCCCGGACAAAGTGTATCTCATGCAAACTTTCCGTGTACCATTTGAATTGCTGTTCAATCTTTATGTTGATGATTTTCTTCTTTTCTATAGGAAAATTCTTTGATTTCTTTCTGACTGTTTGGTAAAAATGGAAGTTGGAAATTCGCGAACCTGGGTCAGTGTACGTGAACATAAATCGTTCGTCTTCGCATCTCGTTGCGGGTGTCTCACCCCTAGGAAGCGAAACATCTTCAATGATGTACGAAGTGACCTCAACTGAACAAACCGTACACTCACTTCCCCGGTCCTGGTCCTTGCCGTGTGGGAGGAATGGGTCCGCAGCTGCAAGGGCGTGCAGTTTTCGGCCAAATGGTTGCAAGCTAGTGGGTCCCGGATGGCGTCTTCATACTCCGCTGCTTGCCGCACGGCCAGCCAAGCGCCAAACCGTAGCCAAACGCGCTACTTGAGTGTGCTCTGTTATTTCGGGTGTGCTCTACCAGTGAATGCGTGTTTCGCTGAGGGACCTTGATATCGACGCAAGTGTGCACTTTTAAGGTGGAACATCGGAGGCGCTAGGCTACCAGTATGTTACAGCCTTATTCTCGTGCACTTTCGAGAGGGGGTAAGAGGCACGCTACTGAAGCCGCGTACTCGATCGTCTTGCACATGGCAAGGATCGTCCTCCTAGGTGAGTGCAGTCTGTCTCCATGCACAGGAACATCGTGCTTACTGCAAAGTGACCTGAGTTAATGTCAGCCTATTGAGCTACTCATAATCGACAGAAATCAAGTGGAACTATAAGCAGGTCAGAAAAAGGGCATGAGGCCTACAAAAAAATACAGCAACACAGAATGCTAGCAGTATACAGTTTGAATTGATTGAAAATCGTTGTGTCTAGCTATTGACCGATCATCAGCGTGTGGCATAAAACATACAAAACATCAAATATTGAGAAAAATTAGTTATGTAAAGCCCAAGAACCAAATCCACCCCAAAAGTCAGTCTCTGATGTGAACGGAACAATTTGGTAATCTTGGCATAATGAACTGGCTTGGCACTACATCACAAAAAATGCGAGCCCTCCAGCACGTTAGTTGACAGATAATGACCCTCTGGCACCTCCTTCGTTGTCCCCAGTGTGTGGCGTACCAAACGGTTAGGACCCAGGCGAATAGTTCATAATTCGATTCCGATGGATTACCTTATGACTTTCGTGTGCATGTATTCAGCACCGTAATGAGACGTCATGAATTATTGCGTGAAGGCGCATTCCGCGATAAACTGAGGCTATAACCTCTCAAACGGGTCAGATGATCCTTAGATGATTGCGGATGCTGTGCTACTTTCAAAGTGAAAACTTGTGAGAGACCAGGTGGAGGCAAAACAACTAGCCCCTTTAGCACCCCTTAGGCCCACGTTATCCCCACTGATCGCTAGCTACTAGCTAGTAGCCCTTCTGCTAGCCCTCTCCATTTCAACTGGTGAGAATGAGGTGATGGAAATGAATTGATATCCTTATGAAAACAACGAGAGCATGCAAGCCTTCTCTTTGTTGTGTGTGCATGCAAGTTGGGGCCGGCATGGAGTCCTATATGGAGGCATTCGGCGGTTTTTCTGCTTTTCCTCTGCACTGCTCGCTTATCTAGCACTTTGTAGTTCGTAACTGATGGTGAGCTACATGACGCACCATCTGTAGTAGTGTTTTTCCTTCCGGCTTAAATGTAAAGAAATTTCTCCTAAATGGCTTTGGTAAGCTATGGCTGGTTTGGGTAAACTCTGTTGTGCTGCCATATTTTGCCCTCCTATGATCAACCATTCATGTTCTGCTGAGTCCTCTCTTATCAGTACGGACGTGCTTTTTCTGGTTTCTCAATAACCTTACCTCGCCCAGGCTAAGTCCTGTTGCTCTAATCAGTATGGAACATGGCTTTTTCTGGTTTCTCATAACCTTCCCTCCCACAACTTTCTATTTAGCACTGCCAAACATTTTTCCCTTTGTACTAACACCTTTCTACCACGTGTATCACTGCTACCATACAACTTGGACTTCTTCATGGTTCTGTTACGAAACACTTTAGTACTGACAGCTAGAGGACTCCACTTGCCAAAGCCTCAAAAAGTGCAAAAACATGTATCAAGTGCCCCTTTCTCAGGGGAGGGGGGGGGAGAGATGAAGAACTTCAGAATGGGTGCACCACTTATCATGAGAGAAAAGCTGGACTGTATGTGAGCACAGTGGATTATGAAATACTCCGTAAACGAGAGAATGCAGAGAAAAACAGAAAATTCCATTAGTAAAGGGAGTAAAGCTCAGAAACTCCTGTAGAATCGTAGATCACATCTCATTATACAGTTTTCCATATGCACCCGGAAGTCCCTGCTAGCGTGCAATTTAAGCGTATACTAGCAGCCTCCTATCACATGGATCACCCTCCACCATACACTTCCTCCCCCGCACCTTCATTTTCAGGTCACACTGTCGCTGCCAGGATTCTTTCCCAGCTACTCCTGCAAGTGAAGAGAGATAGATGCGCTGCGTACTAGTCTACAGAATCTCAATTGCAGACAGGTCCACGTTACAAACAAAACCATACAATTATGTAAATGCTTTTGTTTTCGCTTGGTATGGTTGTTTTTGCGAGCAATGATCGTCCGAAAATACATAACAACCCTTTTTCCCAATCTACTGACTCTTTTCACTCGATTAATACTACTGATTTGTGGATAGCTCACCGACCTTCCGTTAACTGATGTCACTCTCACAGTCGAACACGATGTTCCTCTACCTAATAAGGTCGACTTCTGCCTGTGTTTGCCTACCCCTGGTACAGTTTGCAAGTTTTCTGAATAACATGGGACTCGGACGAAGGATGTCTCAAGTCTATTTTCATGCCTTCTGAACTGGTGTCATTTTTTATGTTGATGATCTTCGTCTTTCCTAGAAACTCTTTGTTCGGTCTCTTTCTCACTCTTGGGTCAAAATGTCCGTGAGGAATTCGAAAACCGTCATCATAATGTTGGGTAGTACATTCCTTGTACTGCTCACCGTTTCACTCACGAAACCGTCAGCCTACAACGATGTGGTGAGAAAGCTAAATTATGATCATTCCTTCCTTAACGACTTACAAAACATATAGCTCATCTAGGGTATGCGCAGAATCGGGCGAGCCTTCAACCTGGATCACATCATGGGAGGACAAGTTCAATATCGCCCTCCTCCTATAGTTGAAGAAACTTTTGATGCCTGGCACGTCTGTCTTAGTGAAGCCCTAGCTCCTGCAATGAACGACTCGAATGAGGTATGTAGGCAGCAGTTTTCTACGATTCACCTGCCAAGAAGTTTCTAATACTTCGAACTACGAGGGTTTTATAAAACTGTTAACGACTTTCAAAATTACTTCCAAATTCAAAATCTTCGGAGCCATTATCTGGGGTGAGGGCCACTCCTGCACGGCGTGAACTTGATCTTTCATATTTGAGGGTTCCACTATCTTTGTTCCAATCTCCACTAGGGCAGAGTGGGCTTCGGTTGTGAGAGGGAGGAGATTATATACGTTCTTATATATAAAGAAAAAGTGTGTGTGTGTGTGTGTGTGTGTGTGTGTGTGTGTGTGTGTGTGTGTGTGTGTGTGTGTGTGTGTGTGTGTGTGTGTGTGTGTGTGTGTGTGTGTCACCGAAAATTGGGACTATGTGGAAAATCAGCTTTTGGGGAAGCGGATCAGCTTGGGATGGTGAGTTATGGCCAACATTTACAGAAGCACCTACAAAGGCAGACCTCGCTCCGCCCATACCATGCAAAAAAGGGGCGGGGCGTAGGCTGTAAGTGAAACGGCGCCAAGGTAAAAAATTTTCAAAACGCATTTTTGAACAACCCGAAGGTGGGAATATGCTTGATCGATCGGGCGAGAAACGAGATGAGTAAGGGGGAGACACCGCGGCCAGCAAAAGTATGCTCGGCGTTTATAGCTTTGCGGCAAGCGTAGGAAGCGCTTCAGCGTCGCCAGCGGCAGTGCGGGGGAGGATGCATATGATGCTAGCGTGTTCGAGCGGTCCACAGCGTCACGCTAGCGTACGCTAGCGTTACGCCAGCGTTTCTCCAGCGTTTCACTAGCGTTTTGCTAGCGTTTGCAGCGGCAGCGGAGTAGAGACTATGTAGCGCGTTGAGTAGATCGCGGACACGGCGTGTATTGTAGAGAGCTTTATGTGGTTCTTGTCAAGACGCGCAATCGATGTGTTTTGTACCCTCCAGCTCTCCCATAGTCTCTACTCCCTGCCGCTGCAAACGCTAGCAAAACGCTGGTGAAACGCTGGAGAAACGCTGTGGAGTAGCGCTGCGTTACCTATGCGTGACGCTGGTGACGCTGGAACCTCTAGATGCGATTATGCTCCTCTTCGCGGCTTTGCCGTGGCGGTGTACGCTGGAATCGCTAACGCTACGTCTGGCGCAAGGTATAATAATGCAGCTTTAGGGCAAACTTTCATGAATTTCGTTTAAGACAGAATGAGAATAGTAGTGAACATGAGGTCCAAGTCGAAAATTTATAACTTGTTTGTATTTATTAATTTGTTTATTTAATTATTTAAATGCTATCTATTCTACATACAACGCCAAATGTACTCATACTTCACTTTCGGTTCATCCATAACATCCCATCCACTTCCCCCTCTTGCCTTTACGACACTTCACTCACCGCCCTAGGGGGGGGGGGGGGAGGGTATACAAATGTGAAAATGTAATATGTTTGGATACAGAAAAAAGATTTTTGTTCGTATGGCGGGCGATCCGGCTGGCCCTCAGGTTGGAAGGCCGGGGACCCACTTCACAGGCATAAGGAGGATCGCCGTCGAAGGCGGGCGATCCGACTGGTTTGTTACTAACAAGAAGAGGGAGGGGAGTATTCAATATCTGTTAGAGTTATCTGCATTAGTGGTGATAGATCTGAGAGATTTGTAAATTATTAAAGACTCTTTTTAAAAAAGAACTTTCATTTCTTCAGATACTTTTAGAGTTCATACGTCGTAATTCGTAGAGCGGGTACGAGCAATTCCTTTTGAGTCTATTTCTCCGAGATCTACCATTTGAGAGTTAGGTGCAGTACTTGAGATAGTGGTGTTGAGTGGCAGACTCGATTTCGAGAAGAACTTTCTCATTGCCTATTTCCTTTTCTTCTAGAGGAATTGAGCGTGCATGAAAAAATTCAAAAAAAAGCGCTCCCTATGTCCCAGATAGCAAAGGAGTATTGTTTCAGCTTTGGAGCAAATTCCGTGATTCCGTGAATGGATGTGCCTCTTCGACACTAATGAAGCATATCGCCTTGTCCGGTGCTTCAAACAAAGACAAGTACAAGTTCCACATTTTCAACAAAACTGATGTTAGTTTACTCTGCTAAATTCTTGGAAGGCGTGTTAATTAGAGCATACCCATAGTGTTGATCAAGATGATCCAGGGTTCTGGGTACTTTCTGAGTGGTGCGAACTGATTTCTACTTTTGAAGGACGTTTGAAGAACAGAATGCAAACAGTGTGCATGGATTCCCATGCACATTTTCTGATTCGTGCTTCAATTCTCAAACACGTGATACAGACTATGCCTGGAGGAGAAACGCCTAGCATAAAGGGGGAATCCTGTCTGGGGCAATTTGTGAAGTCTTCCATCGTGAAATTCCCTCTACAAGGGACCCAATAGGAGAATGCGGGCCTATCTGCTAGAATTACCCCTCCTTCCCGAAAGGACCGCTTCCAAGCATCAGTATCATGCTCAGGTACATCGATGCTGATAGTCTTCATCGATTCAATAATGAGATACAATTGAAAATGGGCAGATGCATGTAGGCGTCCATCTACATGCAGCAGTAATTAGCATAGCGGTCGTTGGCATGATGCTGGGCACGGAAAACTCGCTCAAAAATGTTTTGTGCCAGAGTGGCTCGTCCTCCACCTTGAGGCCTTTCCGCATGTTTTTGACAGTTTTACATAATAATTTCTTCCCGTCACCCTCCCACCGTTTACAACGCTGCTATCCTTTTAGACCATCATTGCGCCTATGCCCTTAAAATCATTTTTTCCAATGCACATTTCCTGAAGTGATTTTTTCCTGGTTGGTAGTGCTTGATGCTCCCCCTTATACAAGTTGTTTTATTGTGAAGTCTTGCAAAGCCATGAAATGATACCAGTCAAAGTTTGTGGGAACTACTGTCAACTCTTGTGAAACGATGAACCCGATAATGGGAAGTTGCGGAAGTGGAAAACAACTCCCCTCCCTTCACAGTTGCCGAACTGCTCCGCGTAATGTTTCTAAGAGCTCTGATGATCTTTGTGTTCAATTTGGAGAGAAGAACGATGTGGAATTCGCTAGAATGGTTCGGTAATGATTGTCCAACCTACTGCATCCTTCGAACTCTCAAAAACCAGTTTTAAGATTTTCCTGAGTCGAATTCTAGTGAACGGCGTTATATAGCTGCCTCAGGTAATTCTGTTGATGGGAAAAGGCAGTGTGTCGTGTAATAGCGAATAAGCCTATCCATTTCCGTGTACAAGGTATTATTCAGAAAACTCCATCAATCGTCATCACACTGGGCGTTGGCTGGGACGTGTTGGCGGAGAAAAGACTGAAGGAAATGTTACCGAATGTGAGTTCAAGGACGGTCATAACTTCACTAATCGTGCTAATAGAGTTTGTGCTATGTAGCTTGCAAATGGTTTCATCCTATGATAACGGCTGACTGCAACATACATAAACTTCCTTTTGGAGTCAGCGACATGATGTGCATTTAAGGGTTCACAGTTCTACGGTGCTGATCCGATCTACGAGAAGAATGCAGAACTCTACTCGGAAGTTGGACAGTTCTTTCCGTTAGCCGTTGGTAACGAAACAAAAGTTTCGAAAGCCTATGTCATGCCTAAGGAACTGGGAGGTTACGCTTACAAGCTTCTTATTGTTTCATTCGCTAATTAGTTTGGTTTTAATATAGATAAATGGGACAAAAAGCGAAGCTGGGAGATAGCTTAAGGCTCCTAACGGCAAGTGGCACAAAACGTTCAGGATTAACGCGCCCAGCAGCAGAATTTTGCACCTGTGAACAGGCGCTGCGTGGTGCCTTTTGCCCGGTGCCCTTATAGCGCCCTACCAAGCTGCAACATTTCGATCCGCACGCGTGCCGCGCCTGCCCGCCCACAAATGTCCGAGCGATGCTGATGCTCGTATCGTTCATTTGCGAAGTACAATATGAAGCGAAGGGATTGATATGAAGCGGCTATGGTGCTGCATAGATATATGAGTACATACACTGTAGTTCGCTGCGGACGTTGGGCGTGTCAGGCGGGATGAGTTTGGCGCGGTGCCAAACCCGTTCTCCACCAGTTGTTAAAGCGAGCAAGTGATATGACTGTATCATATCGTTCGTATTACTCGTTTTCTACCACTTTTTGTCGCATGCGCGCTTCAACAAGAAGGCAGAGAACGGCTTTGACGGTGTGCACACTCATACTGCCTGACACGCCCAACGTCCGCAGCAAACCAGAGTATTCGTGTAGCCGTATCTACCGTAGCGGTTATTGGCACGATGCCAACGGGAAACTATTAGTACGGAATTGTCGAAAATGTCGTGCAGAGCAAACGCTTTTTTGGCACGTTTTTGAACGCTTCACTTCGCTTTTTCGCCGTTCGTCCATTATATAGTTCCCCTGCAAACGTTTTGGACCAAGGAACAAATTATCGTGCCTTGTGTCTTCAAGGTATAAATTCATTGAAATGTGAGTTTGTATGAGATGACAATAATTCTGCACCACGCTTTCATTCCATCGAAGACAGCAAAGGCGTTTGTATGCGTTTTGGCCATGCAATGACTTGAGCAGTTGTGTGTACAATTTCATGATTAATGTTCTTACTCTCATGTGAAGAGTGGTAGCAATTAACCACTGGAGGGACAGAAGCCTTGTCTGTAACCGTGCTCCGCGCTATAATCCATGGTAGGAAAGACCAGGTATTGTTGTGAGCTGCTCCGACAATCACAGACAGGACTTTTGAATTTCGTAAACTGAATTTTATTCCCCAATGTGGGCGTAAGATTTTTTCAAGTATTCAGTGGTTGACGATTGATTGATCGTGTGATTCATGAAATTTATACAAAACGTATAGGATAGCTAGAATAAAGTCGTGAATCACAGAATTTAGTCCTGTAAATATTAGGCTGGAAGGCTCGAGCATGACTTAACATTCTGTCTTTGTAGAACATTCGAAGAGCTTTCCCGCAAGTGGTATATAAAGGCACCTGGGTTAAATTACAATATCAGTGTCACATGAACAGCCTCGTGCATTGGGAGAGGACACCAAAATCATAAGGACCGTCCACCTCTTCGCTCGCTTCGCGAAAGGAGACACGATCCTCGAAGACAAACCTCGGTTGGGACGGCCCCACGAAGTGGAAGACTCCACCATTCTCGAAGCAGTCAAGGAGGATCCAGAGGCTACCACCCGCAGTCTTGCGACAAGACTCGGATGTACCTAACTGACAGTCGTCCACCGCCTGTAAGCCTTGACTACCGAAAAGTACTGGCTCGATGGATCACTCATACCTTGACCGATGGCACGCTGTGCACCCGGGTACCCCTTGGTCAGTCTCCCCTTCTCCGCCCTCGTCAAAAGGTGTTTCTGGGAGACTGCTCAGTGGAGATGAGATGGGTCCTCTGTGATTTCAACCCACACAGTACCGTGTGTCTCTCTCAAGGAGAAGACCCATCCTAGCAGTCCAAACCGGGCATGTATTCCGAGAAGGTTCTCCTGTGCTGCTTCTGGGACGCGAGGAATGCTGCACAACGAGCTGCCCTGTAAGAACACACGGTCACCGCTACCATTTATGTCGCTCAGCTCCTGAAACCGGTGGAAATTGTTGGAGAAAAGTGACCGAGACTAGCTTCGGGGCACCTCTTTCGTAGTACGCGAGACCCCATACTGCTATGGAGACCTACCAAATAATTGAGGAGCAAGGCTGGAAGACCAGACTCCGCTCACCATATTCTCCTGACATGGTCTCCTACGACTGCTACCTGCTCCACCTCCTTGAGGCTTTCTTAGCTGAGAAAATTTTCAGCAACTTTGACGACGACATCAGTCGAGAGGCAGCCGACTTACGCGACTCGCAACCTCCCCAGTTCTGGAAGAAGGGGAATGCTTACCTGCCCATTAGGTGGGGCACTGTAGTGGCTGAATCAAACTGGCGAGGTATATGTTGACTACAGTTCCAGTTGTATGTGAGTTAGCAAAATAAAGAGAACAAAAAAGTCACAACAGTGATAAGACTTTCTTTCCAACCTATTATTTTAGTTAGGCCTACACACATATGTACTCCCAGGTCTTATTGCTATGGGGAAATAATGCGCCCTAGAAGTTTTCCACTCTGGCAAATTGAAATATCATAAATATAGTCTCCAGATTCTCTTTTACTGTAACTTCAGCATTGCTTTTTACAAAGTGTCAGCAATAAAATATATTAATAAAGATGGCAATGTGCATTATTTTAGGTCAATATGAATTTCGGACTATGGTGCATCTAGACGTAATAACATTTCTGAAAAACCTCACACGAACGCCATTCATCGATCAGTTTCTCATGGACAATGAAGGTTCGTTGCGCAGTACATTTTGTGGTCACTCCCCTCCCCCTTCCGTGAATCCCAAGTGGCACATCCGTGCCACAGTGAGGAAAAGTCTAGCTCAAAAGACTTTCCAAAAGTTAGAAGACTCTTGCCTCCGGTCGGCTTCATTACAGAGCCATTGGGATACTCGTATGAGACTTGCTAGAAATGCCATATTTTCGTTGGCCTCTCGTTGACGGCAAGACTTGTTCCATTTCATATTTGCCGTAGAGCGAAGGGGGTAATGATTTCCTGATTTTTACCTGGGATCTACCTGGAGGTTTCATTTCCACAGATACAATCCCACTGACTGGTTAGTGGGACTCCTTCCTTGCACAAAGTAGCCTTGTCGACCATACAACTTTCGCAGCCTTGAGTTAAAGGCACGGTCCGCGATAAACTAAGGCTAGAACCTCATAAACGCACATGATGCTCAAGCAGGCAACAGCAGAGGCTATGCTGCTTTTAAAAGTTGAAAAACAACAAGGAGACGCAGGACGCTCAGGTTTTAGGCCCATTGGCGCCCGATAGGCCCATGCCGGCCTCCAGTGACCGTGTCGCGTCACTGCCATTGCGCTCTCTCGCCCGTCGTTTTCTGGCCTCTCTCGTCTCTTATCAGTGTATCGTCGCCTTTTGCAATTCACAATTGATCTTGACCACCGCACGCTCGTCCGGTGATCATGATCAATTGAAATAAAGAGGTCTTATAGCGGGCCGTTTTTCGTGCTTCCTTCTCCTTCAGTAAGTCAACAAGCTTCTGGCAATCCTATTTTTGAGCTGTATCACCTATGAAGTGTGGTCGCGGGAAGTGCCTTTAAGCGCTGAATCGTCACCATTCCCGTCCCGTAATCTTCAACCATCAGCAGCGCTAACACCCCAGTCGCGGTTGCGTTTGCTTTTGCATGGTGACTGATGCTGTACCTGCCATCTCGCTCACCTTTCTGGCCTCTAATCAGGTGTTCGCCCCTTCTCGCCCGCGTCCCGTAACTCTTTCGCCGTCACAAGAATGCTGAGTTATGGGCAAAAGTCGGACCACGGACGGGATTCGAACCCGCATCTTCTGCTTACCGGGCAGTTGCGTTCCCTATTACGCTACCGAAGGCGTAATTGGAACGACAACTGCCGGTAAGCAGAAGATGCGTGTTCGAATGGCTCATCAATCTGGCGTACTGGCGGCGTTTAAACGCGTTATCAAACAACACAGCTTGAATCTTCTGCGCTTCCGTTCCATCCATCATGCTCATTACCATGGAAGAAACCAATGGTAAAAGGTGGGCCTTATCTGGGCTGCGGTCTCGGAGCATTTCCGTCTGTTGCAGCCATGATTCAAGATGCCCGCAGACAGATTGATTCTTTTTGTTTTTTATCACAGTTTCGGGCAGAGAAAATGGCGCTGAAGTTTCACGGAACTCTCCATAGTCCCAACAGGCCATTAGGGGACGTTCATTTGAGGAATCCAGTCAGTTCTGACTTTCCTTTGTTTGTATGATTTACCTGTGAAAAGCTGAAAGAGTGGTATTCTCGCCGGTTGGCCTAGCTGTTGTTGCCTCCTCCTTCCTCTCTACGGAGTGTTGCGGTCATTTCGAGCTTTTCTCCACATTTTTATATTATAGGCCCGGAATACGACCTGATACCAATGATGGGGGTCGGACGTGAATTCGATCAGAATGGTATCGTTGTTTGTCAAATAAATACCGAGGTGAGTGTTTAATACAATTCCCCCTCTACCCCTCAAACTATAACGTAACCGCCTATCTGCTTTCCATTCTCACTTCCCCCACCTCTGATTTCCGAGAAAAAGACCTGTGGGGGGAGGGGTCGGAATGTACCTGCGCTGAACACGTGAAAAGTCTAATTCCCATTCCTTTCATTAGCACTCCTTCCTTGAGAACTCTCCCAGCAAAACCATTACAACTCCCCTTTCTGAAGACTTGAATTAGACCCTGTGGATGAGAACCACCCAACGATGACGGGTCCTGGACCTATCAGAGCGGAACTCATCATGGTGTGGAAGATGCGAAACTACCGTCGAAAGAAAAATTAAAAGATTGGGGACCTAGTAATGATCCTCATCAGTGCCATAATGGGAAATCAAGGGATGAGGCTTTCAATGTTGGTCAGTCCCCTTTGGAACACGCCAAGCATTTCACTTGTATTCAGAATCGTAGTGGCTCTTGAGTGCGGTACGACCCATCGGAAAAAGGGGTTAGGAGGGCCGGAAGGGGTGGAAGGCTCGGTTGGCAGGGTGGGAGGGGACATGACAATCCGCTTTTGGTTAATCCCCTCGGAATGTGTCCTACATTTCACTTCTATTCAGAATCGTAGTGGCTTTAATACGGCATGACCTACTGAACGACTGGACGGGGAGCAGGGCCCGAAGGGATGGAAGGCTTGTTGGCTTGATTGGGAGTCGGGCGGGACATGACAATCCTTTGCTGGTCAATCCCCTTGGAATGTGCCCATCGGGGCTTGGCCAACAACGGATGTGCATACTCAGATGGCCACTGCAGCAATTCTGCAGCAAGTTTCTTTTTCTTGTGCCTATTTTGAATTCAAAAAGGTTCTTTTCAGATTCATAGAGGTCATGCGAACCATAAGGAGCGGTTCGCTGACGTGTTCCGACAACTGCTCGCTGATCGACGATATGCAATCTTCAAAGTGGTCACTACCGGCCACCACCGAACGTTCTTAGTTAATTTCGAACGCAGGGAATGTGTTGAAAAATACGTTTTGCAATTTTTCAAGTAGCTTGAATTTCCCAGAACGTCCCGTTCTAATCGTTGACCTCATTTTCATGATTGTGCTTTCATTTGAAGAAAAAAAACAGTTGATTACAAAGGTGTTAGTATACAAAAGAGCTTTACTGAATTTCGAGAAAATCTCATTTCATCGACAAGTCACCGGCTGAAGAATGAG